TTATCCCATGACAACAAACTGCTGAATATTTGGTTGTTCGGAAATAATTATTTGGGCTAAATTCACTCTGCGTGTGGCACTGAGCAGTCATAAATTGAAAGTGCAAATGCCTGAATGGAAACATAGCTTAAATCATTTACTTATGCTACTATTCTACACTGACACACTAATGCTGTGAGAGATGTTTACAACTGTACAAAGTCTTGATATAGAGTAATCAGCTTGATGAGAAAATACAAAAAGGCCACAGGTCATACACAAACTAAAGAATGTTAAAGGGCATTTTGTTCAGGTAGGTTTTTTTGTTTTTTTTTGAAGTCCTTGTGATACCACTTTAAGCACATGCTTTATTAAAAGAAAGAGCATCTAGAAGAATCCCAACACTTAAATCCATTATTAACTGAAAATACCTTACATTTACATAGCATTTTACTGTGTTGAAACAATTTCACATACTCCATTTCATTTATTTCTCACAAATTCTCACAAATGTGAGGTAAGCTGAACAAGTTACAATTATTTTATGTAAGGCAGTGGAGGCCCAAAGATGAGAAATGATTTATGTAGAGGTCATAGATCTAGTTAGTCTATGTATGGTACAGCTAAGGTGATTAATTTTAAATTTAATTAATTACTTCAAAACAAATGAAACCAAAATACTTTTTATATTATATCCAAAAATTTTAAAGACTATTGGTTTTTAATGTAAATTGCTCCAAAACTTTATTATATATCTTACAGTATGAATTAGTTATAAATTTGATTTTAGAGTCTCCCTTAAATGGTAAATCAGACTCCATGCTTTGGTACCTTAGAGATATTGAAGTGTTAAAAAACATACACATGGATTCTTCTTGCCCTTAGGCTCTCCAAAAATTTCCAATACTAATACTAATAAAAAGGCCTTTTAACCACTCACTTACAATATGACTTATTTTAAAACTGGTCCAAACTTATGAAGCTCCAAGCCAAGGCAAACACATTCACCCATCTTCTGCCCACATACTGTGAAATCCTCCACATGCCCATTCCCAAGGACCAACTTACAGTGAATGGGTATCATTAAGAAAATATATCAGGTTAAACTAACATAGCTCAAATGATTATGAATCAAAAGTCAGTACCTTATATTGACCCAGAAATAACAAATACTGTTTTAATTTAGTAATTGGGTAGTCTGAGGAGAAAAGTACCATGGCAATCTCTATTATTTATTTATAAGCCAGTACTAACCTTTATATGGCAAGACCAACAACATTTTTTCAATAAAAACAACATATACCAAATGCAATCCATTTAAACTCCAAATTACTCAAAAAGCTTTTTACGTATTTACATTAATCAAATATTCTGGGTAACAAAGCATATCAGGTCACAAATATTTGCATAATGTGAATACTGTAAGATACACACAAAACTAAAACTATACTGAACATGAGGTAATCGTTCTTTAATGATAAAGGAAACATTCATGATCTATTATAATGTCCCAGTACCAGCAATATGAAATGTACATTTGGGTTAAAAACAGCAAATAACTTTATGGTTATTTGGGTGTTGAGTAAATGTGTGCTGACTATACACTTCCCTAAAAGAATATATCCAGTTTAAAATAAAATCAAGGAAGAAAGTTTTCTAGACCCATTTTATGTGACTATATAAAAGTGAACCATATTATAAGCAGTTAATTTGAATTTTTTATAAACTATAAAATCACTTTTTAGAATTTCTGACTTATTAACAAAACATTGTTTTTAATATACAAACTTTGTCACACTCCTCAAAAGTAGCAAAACTATATGCACAGTAAATCAAACTTCACTAATTATGGAAATCTTAAATACAAGGCATGGCTGCCATATTGCACTTAAATATCTGTCGTATGAATTAGCCGATGAATGGACACTGATCTAATAAATGTGGATTTTTAAAAAAAGAATTGTGTTTAAAAAATTTAAATTAAAAAGAATTATGATGATTTGAAAATACAGTCCTTAGTATTTTTAGCCTGGAATCCACAATATTTTATAGTAAGAAGTCTACAGTGTCCTCTTCCAGAATTAATACTCTTTGAAATAATCATTTCCCATGTATATCCTTTTCCAATTTTTTCCATGTTTTCAAAAGAAACAAAAATAACTATAATTTTAGAAGGATAGGTAAACCATGAAATGGAGTATGTTAGCCTTATTAAACTCTCATTACAAATTATTTACTTTTATTATTTGTACCACCAAAGATCAGTCACAAAAAATTCAAATTATACATGATACTGTTCATACTTTAATAAATGAGCAAATAAAACCAAGCCAGTATGTTTCTTTAAATGATAACATAGGAAAAAAATTACTGTTTGCAGAACAAAGTAGGCCACATCTAGCTATAGAGTGGCAGTTAATGGTTTGTCGACATGGTACAGATGCCGTCAATAAAACCCACGTAGAGACAGGCATACCTCTAATACTTTCATTTTGTTTACACCTGGAACCTTCAAAGAATCACTGTATATTAAATTTCTATGTGCACTCAGTTATTAAATGCTTGATATATACATATTTACCAAAAGTTAAAGACATATGTGACATGGTAAGCCCAAATAGTCAAAATGAATTCTAAAAAAATTCTTTTCTAAAGTGCTTAAGGCAATTCCTTCATTTCTTTATCCAGTTTACTAAAACTGGTTTGGGATTCAACTGCTAAAAGGGAAATGCAATTCTAAATGCCTGTTTTTATAAGACAATTTTTTTATACCTGTGATACATCCATTACCATCAACCTCTCATGCATTTCTTTTACAGAAAGCAATCATGTTTGACCTGTCAAACCAAACAGTAAATAAACTAATAAAAAATGTCTGAAAGGGTATACTATCTTCCCATAATGCATTAAATTGAGCAAAAAGGCTCAATATTTTTTAATTCAAATGACAATGAGAATGTTATATATTATCGTCAAGTTAACAGTTACCTTAATGTGAGACTATTTAAATAGGCACTATCGTTGATTATTTTCTAGTTCGAAAATGAGGGTGGCAAACTCTTCCAGTTTAACTTAACATACAAACTTAAAACCCTACACGTTTTGTTCTTTGTATTTAGAGACCTTTAAGAAGAAGTACAGTAAGAGGAAAACCTCAGATTCTTATTTTGAAGTAATAATTGTTATTACTTCAAATGAATTTTCCAAATGAGTATTAGAAAGTTTTATATGAAGGGCTTCACAGGATGGCATGAGCACAGGAAAGACTCATGCGTACTCCTCCAGCCCGACTGATATCCCCGCTCCTCCATACCCCTGCAGCAGAAGGCCCTCAGCAGTGTAACATAATGGTCTCTGGCTTAAATATCAGTTGACGCCGCCTGGGGCATGGAGCAGGAGCACGCTCGGAGGAAGAAGGCACTGAATTAAAGAGAAGACACAATTACATAAGATCGAATAGTAAAAAATTTTATACAAGAACTTCTGGCTTTTTCTGTGTCATTTTTGCTAAAATATACATATGTAACTGTTCACATTATAGCAGCTCTACCACTAAATTACTGCTTTCAGATTTGACCCCATGAAAGAGAATAGTAACTTCCTGTTTCCTTAGGTCCTGGAATAATCCCACTGTAGGGAACAGAACACATAAAATTTTTTTTCAAAATCTCTAGGAAGATCAAAAACCAAAATTATACTTGTTTGGAGAATCAAAAGGATATCTATTGACATATTTCATTCTCTCAATTGACTTATAGTTGTTAAAACTACCAATATGTCATGAGACAATGGTGCAGATATAAATGTCTTCTGGAAAAATAATACCCAGTTCAAATAAAATTTCTCATTTAGGTTTGTTTTACCAATGAACAAAACATCCTATCAGTAAGCAGTAAACTTTAAGAGAGAATGAGCTATACCTATTCCACAGGCCTTTCTGTAAAAGGCAACTCAGCTATAAGCAGCAACAGTCACTTCTTGGGAGAAGGCTCTCATAACAATACACTTAAAATGAGAATGAAAGAAACTCAACATGAGAAAGACAAATCCAGAGACCACTTAAAAATGCTCAAGGGATCCTTAAATACTGTAATCACAACTTTCAGTTTGGCTCAAAGAACTTGTATTACAAATTTTAACCAATTTTAAAAAAAATAGGTATGTTCTGCTCAATAACCATGGGTTTTACTCTTTGTTTAATATATTTTCCCTAAGTTTGGGAAAGATTCTTCTATGATGATTTTTGGAAGAATTATACCCCTTTAGAAAATAAATGAATGTTGCAGAAGGATTAAAAGAAAAATAACCTCTGAAGAGTAATGTTTGAAAAATTCATGTGGCAAATAAGTCAGAGATATGTAGACATTTTTCAAAACACTTGTTTAAACCATTCCAAATCTTATTAAAAAGCAGACATAAATGACTTCAGTATAGTTTCAGGCACCTCCCTTTATAAATTATCCTTCTGAGATAAAACTTAAATGGTGTAGGTTTTTCTACCTTATATGTAACTTCAATAACATTTCATTCCTACCTGAAGTATTAAACATCAGTATAATTATCAATTATTACCAAATTCAAGTGGGAATTTTACCAAGATAACCATTAAAGGTAGTATTAAACTAGACAACAAAATCAGAAAATAGAAAGCTTTTAAAAATCTTATCCATCATCCAAAATGATGGAATGAAAAGAAGTCTAATTGAACAAGGCAACATATAAAGCATATTGCTTTGCCACTGTTAGTGCAGCAGGTAAAAAACTGAAGTATCGGTGATTTTAAGCTACTATGTCTAGAAACTCTTCTATCCACTCTATTTTGAATTTTAACCACAAGAGAAATATCACGGTATTTGGAAAAGAGAAAATGATACACAAATCTAGTCAGTAAACAAAAGAGGATAATTTAGCAAAACGCAACCTACTCACAAAAGGAGAAAAATAAACCATTGTAAGAAAACCTTTTTAGCATCCCCAACCAATTATTTCAATTTTTAGAAAACCTTAGAAGACTGTATTTTTTTTTAAAGCTTCAGTGTAAGAATGTAGTAATAGGTAGTGATGAGATAAAGAAAAAGTATAGAGAAAAGACGACAGCTTTAAATGCTTTCCTCTCAGGTCCTAGGGCTACCATACATAACTAAACATATTAGAAGAGCCAAAGTAATCCAACACAAAAGTGAGTTTCTATTTAACTATTTAAACACTGCCTTTCTTCCCATTTACTCTTCAAAACATCAGTTTCTTGCTTTCCTATCTGCTTGCTTGATGATACTGCACAGTAGGTTCCCGTGAGTACTTTGCATTAGATGCTTAATGCTAACACATTCCAGGCCTTAAAGCAGAGCGTAACCATCCTGATTTCCACCACTCATAAATTTCTGTGATTAGTAACTGCACAGAAAAGGTCACCCAATCAGAAGGGGGGTAAACATATTCTGAGTAAGCATTACTGAGTAACATTGTTTAGGCTGCTAGCTGAACCAGTCATTCCGTTTTCACTTTTCTGAAGTGTTCTCACAGCACTTGGAACCTGCATCCCAGTATTCAAAGAAAGTCCACCACACCAAACCTGAGAAAAGACAAAACAAAGCTTCAGTCAGCTTTCAAATCAAATTGGAACTTAGGTGATCCTTAAAGTTCCATCTGAAAGGCAAAATGCCACATATGTGAACGTTAACAAGTTCCAAACTGATAACTTTCATATTTGAACTAAGGGGAAGTGGAAAGGCTAACTTGAGTCTTTTAGAACCACCGAGGCCAGAGGAAGTCTTTGTGGTAGCTAGCAGAACCCACGGGAGCTGCATATAATAGAAGGAACTAAGGACTGCAGAAATTTAGAGATTAAATTTTTTTTAAATTTTCTATTATTTAACAGAGAGAGACACAGCAAGAGAGGGAACACAAGCAGAGGGAGTGGGAGAGGGAGAAGCAGGCTTCCCGCGGAGCAGGGAACCCGATGTGGGGCTCGATTCCAGGACCCAGGGATCATGACCTGAGACGAAGGCAGACGCTTAATGACTGAGCCACCCAGGCACCCCTAGAGATTAAACTTTTAGGATTAATAGGCAAAAGACAATGGCTATTATTACTGATGCTAAACATCACAACCGGGGGCGCCTGGGTGGCTCAGTCGTTAAGCACCTGCCTTCGGCTCGGGTCATGATCCCAGGGTCCTGGGATCCAGCCGCACATTGGGCTCCCTGCTCAGCAGGGAGCCTGCCTCTCCCTCTCCCGCTCTCCCCTGCTTGTGTTCCCTCTCTCACTGTCTCTGTCAAATAAATAAATAAAATCTTTTAAAAAAAAGAAAATAAACTTTACAACCAAGAGAAGTGCCCAAAGAGTCAATTTCCTCATCCCAATTTTCTTTAGATTGTGATAATGAAGTGTGGCCTGAAACTATAGGAATCTAACACTCCTGTGTTAACAGAGTAAAATCCATTATCTTCTTCCCTAATTTGTTAACAATAAGAACCTTTGTAATTCTTTAAAGACTTCTAAGAAAAATGTAAATAGCAATATCCAGATAAACCATATTGCCATAGTCTATTAATTATCATAAATGTGAATAAGTTTATGAAAGATGAAACTGCTTTGCTTGTAAACAGAGTAGGTATCATTCAATAAGATGAATGACAACTGATTTGGAACAGACTCAAATGAATTAAAATATGAAAGAATGGATCACTTAAATTATCATCAATGCCTGGTTTGTAGCCGACATAGCTTGAGACAAGGGACCTCCTAGAAACTGTTGAAGTATTCCCATCTTCAATTATATCCTAAAGTGTTTAGTATTTACTAAGTGATTACAGTAATGTACCAAAGAATTTATTGACCTGTGAAATTTATAGCTGTATGATTAACATTCCAAATTTTTAAAACTAGCAAGTTCAGTAATGATAACTCCCAAAACACAAAAGCAGCTCTGTGATTATAAAGCCACTATATTACTTTTTTGGAAATTATTTAAGTGATTTACAAACCTATTTACTCAAAACATCTAGCACAAAGGTGCAAGGGCAAATCAATGAAGAAAGGTTAGTCTTTTTCAGTAAGTGGCACTAGAATACTTGGAATCCATATGCAAAAATATAGATCTCAAACCATACCTGGTACCATATACAAAAAAATAACTCAAAGTGGATCACAGACCTAAATGTAAAACCTAAAACCATAAAACTTTAGGAAGAATGCAAAAGAAAATATCTTTGTGAACTTGAGTTAGGCAATGCATGATCCATAAAAGAAAAGAAATGGATAAATAGGATTTCATTAAAATGAAAAACTTCTCATCAAAATGTTCAAAAAATGAGAAAAGCCACAAACTGGGAGAAAATATTTGCACAACAGTTATTTGATAAGGGACTCATATCCATCATACATAAAGAAATCTTAAAACTCATTAATGAGAAAACAAGTAACACAATAAAAAATGAACAAATAGTAGATACTTCACCAAAGAAATTATACAAATGGCAAATAAGCACACGAAAAAATGTTCAACATCATTTGTCCTTAGGAAAATACAAGTTAAAACCACAATGAAATACCATTACATGCCTATTAAAATTGCTGAACAACAAGAAATCTGACAATATCAAGTAACGGCAAGGATGTAGTAAACTCATATATTGCTAGTAGGAATGCAAAAGTCATACAGCCACTTTGGAAAACATTTTGGTAGTTTCTTTTAAAGTTAAACATGCACTTTCAAGTGATCTAATATCCTCACTCCTAGGTATTTACCCAAGAGACATGAAAATGAATATTCACATAAAAACCCATTTGCAAATGTTTACAGTGCCTTTATTCAAAATTGCCAAAAACTGAAAAGAATCCAAAAGTCCTTCAACTGGTGAGTATATATCATATCCACTAGAAGAACTAAAACTTAAAAAACATACTACCAAATGTTGATAAAGATGTGGAAGAATCAAACTCTAATATACTGCTAGCAATTTATTAGTATAACTAACAACTCTAAAAAACCCTACGAGAGTTGATTACACATATATCATACCATCTAGCAACTCCAATCTTAGTTATATACCCTGATGGAAATATATACACACATTTACCAAAAGACATGAATAAGAATATTCATAGACATTATTCTAAATGTCCCCAAGGGGAGACCACTCAAGAATCCAATGATATATAAATGATGAAAGAGTCATATAATGGAGAACTATACATATAAATACAATGGGAAACTACGTAAGAATGAATACCACCACAGAGAACATGGATAAATCTCACAAACATAATGTTGAACCAAAAAGATATTGTAGGATTCAATATACAAAGTTGAAAAGGAGGCAAAATGAATTTATGGTATTAAAACTCAAGATAGTAACCACTTTGCTAGCTGACCAGCAGGGGCTAGAAATAGGCACAAGGGGACATATGGGATTCTGGTTATGTTCCATTTCTTGATCTAGACACTGGTTACAAAAATGTGTGTAGTCCTGTGAGATTCATCAAACTGCATTCTTATAATTTGCATACTTTTATGTAATAATATTTACTTCAATAAAAATACCAAAAATATACAGACAATCACAGATTTGGGAGAGGCAGATTAGGGAAAGAAGGAAGAATATGAAAAAAAAAAAAGATGTTTGGCTAATCCCAAATATATAGCACAGATTGTTCTCCTTAAAGTTATCAAACCAAATAAAATATAAATTGGTACTAACCATGAAACCAGGTAGTACTGGCTGAGTAAATTTCGTCTTAAAGGAATACAACAACTGTTTTGAGCTTGCATCATAGAAAGAAAGTTGACCTAAAAGGAAAAAAAAAAAAGCCTAATTTATTACACAAAAACATTTAATTAAATCTAACATATCATCATGGGTAAATGTAATAATACATATTTTGGCACTTTTTTTGGTTACAAAGTATAAGGACTAGACTCAGAAATTCTCACTTGAAAATCAGTAATCAGTAGTAGACATGTGTAAGAAAAAGCCCAAATCTAGTTTTCTTTCCTGATTTTCAGGATCTCCACAGTGCTTCCATAATCTGGCACTACTCTTACTTACTCAACTATAAACTATTTATTTTATCATTATTTAACAAATGTTTTCCTTAACTCAGTAAAAACCAGGCTATTTCTTCCTCATTTTTACTACAACCAGCCTTTGTACCCAAATCCTATCATTTAAGGCTTACTTTATTAAACCTTGTCTTCTAAACACTTGAAGCCACACTCATTTCAGTCTCTGAAATCATAATTATCACTGCTTCAGTTTTGTTCGTTTTTAAAATACCCTCACAGTCTTTCAACATGACCCTGCAACTAAAATAACTGTCTTTCTGACCACCTAACTGTCCAACCTGATGGCCTCCTTACATCTGTTACCACTTCTTGAAATTCTTGTCCCATGACTTCTCTGTATCTCTAACCCTGAGGATATCTTCTGTCTCCTTTTCTCCTATTCTGAATGTAGATGCTTGTCCAGGTTCTGTGTTCTCTCTACAATGTTCCCTTAAGGACGCAGCTGCCACCAAACAGAGAAGAGAAACTAATATTTATGTCTACCATTAAAGCACTGGGTTCTTTATATACAGTACATCAAAACGTTAAGCAACCTATGTATGGTCACAAAGTAAACAGCAGAGCAGTAACATTTAATTGTTCTTCAGTAGCCACTCTGTGATGCTGTGTCTTAACATTTAGCTTCAGCTCTACTTCTCTTCTGAGTCCTAACACTGAATTTCTAAGTATAAGCCAGCCATGCCACACAGTTGTCCTGCTGGCATCTCCTCTCCCCAGGACTATGTTCCCCATGCTGCAGATGACATACCATCCTCTTGACCACACTGGCTGGAATCTCAAGTCATCTTCAACTCTTCTTTGTTTGCTCTCCAATTCATATTTAGCTATTGAGTCCTATGAATTCTACTTCTCAGAACCACCAAATCCATTCCTCTGGATTCCCCACTGCTCAGGCCCTTGTTACTATGAATCACTCAACAAACACTTATTAAGGACTTACTAGGGGCACCTGGGTGACTCAGTCATTAAGCGTCTGCCTTCAGATCAGGTCATGATCACGGGGTCCTGGGATCGAGCCCCGCATCCGGCTTCCTCCCTGCTCAGCAGGAAGCCTGCTTCTCCCTCTCCCACTCCCCCTGCTTGTGTTCCCTCTCTCCTATCTCTCTGTCAAATAAATAAATAAAATCTTAAAATAAAAGGGGGAGCTTACTATGTAAAAGCACTTGCCAGGCAATAAGGATATATATAATACCTAACAAGACAAACATGGTCCTGCTTACACTGCTCAAAGACTGACTCCTGAGAAGTCTTACTCTATGTTTGCAATCTCTTCCACATTTAACCACTTACTCTCCAACAGTTCTAAAATTAGATTATCATCATATGACTATAGTTTTTAAAAATGCACAGAAACCCCCTTCCCTCAACTACTATAAAAAAGACGAGCCTATTACTATTTTTCAAGGCCCTCAGAATCAGATTCCATCCTACATTACTAGGGATGGTTTGGGCAATTTTTAAAGTCCATTCCAACTTGAAAAATCTGACTCCACCACTCTTTACAGGTAATAAAATAAGGTCAGGAAGGAATTAAAATGAACAGAAAAAAATCTGAATGCTTAAAACAAAAATCAAGAAAATCATTCTTTCAGACTTATTAAGCATATTATAGATGAGTGCTTTTGTAAGGCTTTAGGCAAACATCACACACCCAGTCAATTCTAGAACTGAAATTACGTTTCTGATCAAATTCTAGTAGGTCAAAACACTCTGACCACCATATTAATGGAAATTGTATATAGACGATTACCAGTGAAAACTTACCCTATGCTAGCAATTACACTTCTCACTAGTATCTTTGAGGAACCACAAAGTATGAGAAAAGAGACAGAAGAGAAGCAAAATCTATCCTGAGAGTTGATAAAGAAAAAAAAGTGTCAATAACAACATGTATCCTGAGGAAAATTATTTATCTGATTCAAAGTAAGTAAAAAAGAATGCAGCAGGGCGCCTGGGTGGCTCAGCTGGTTAAACAACTGCCTTCGGCTCAGGTCATGATCCTGGAGTCCCGGAATTGAGTCTCGCATCGGGCTCCCTGCTCGGCGAGGGACCTGCTTCTCCCTCTAACCCTCCCCACTCTCATGTACTCTTTCTCTCTCTCTCATTCTCACTCTCTCAAAAATAAATAATAAATAATCTTTAAAAAAAAAAAAGAATGCAGCAAAACTAACATGTCATCACTAAAATTAAATCAAGCCAAAGTTAACTTTTTTCTTTTGAGTAACTAGGTAGAAGGCTCAGCAAATTATTTGGACACAATGTTACTTAAAATGGTAAAATTGGGTTTTATTAGCTTAAAGTGTCAAATTGGAGAGAAGTATCTAGGGAATTACTTTTGTTCCCTAGTTTAATAGTTTCATCTTCAAAATTTTTTTTTTTTAAGATTTTATTTATTTATTGAGAGAGAGAGAATGAGAGACAGAGAGCACGAGAGGGAAGAGGGTCAGAGGGAGAAGCAGACTCCCCGTCGAGCAGGGAGCCCGATGTGGGACTCGATCCCGGGACTCCAGGATCATGACCTGAGCCGAAGGCAGTCGCTTAACCAACTGAGCCACCCAGGCGCCCCTCATCTTCAAAATTTTTATAGAAGCGCCTGGGAGGCTCAGTCAGCTAAGCATCTGACTCTTGAATTCGGCTCAGGTCATGATCTCAAGGTCGTGAGATTGAGCCCTGTGTTGGGCTCCACGTGGAACATAGAGCCTGCTTAAGATTCTCTCTCTCCCTCTTCTTCTGCCCTGCTCATGCTCTTTCTCTATTTCTCTCTCTCAAAAAAAAAAAGCACATATATTATGTAAATATTTTGATGACAGTAGAAAAGATGCTTATCAAATGCCTAGTTCAAAAAGCTTAAGCAAATTTTACAAAAAATAAATATCAAGTTACTTTTTAGATGATCTGAACAAAAGTTTTCAAAAAGCGTGGCCAAATCTATTAAGATGAAACCATAAGAGACTCTTTAACTATAGAGAACTGAGGGTTGATGGAGGGGAGGTGGGCAGGGGATGGGCTAAATTGGTGATGGACATTAAGGAAGGCACTTGTTGTGATGAGCACTGGGTGTTATACATAAGTGAGGAATCACTAAATTCTACTCCTGAAACCAGTATCACACTACATGTTAACTACCTAGAATTAAAATAAAAATTCAAAACAAAGGAAAAAAAGAAACTTAAGGACAAATGTAATATTCTTCATTTGAGTTTAAACGACAAAAACAACCCTAAACTGCCTAATATATGGGGGGGAAAGGCAATTTGACAGAACTCCATGAGAAAAGATCTAGCGGATTGGGTGGCTACAAGCTCAATATAGACCAAAAGTGCTATTAAGTCATATTACTAGAAACTGTGTTGCCAAATTACATGTCCTGATGGTCAGAAGTTGCATGATCTACTTTGAGAACCAATATTTAAGAAATATGTGGACATAGGCTATAACCACAGCAGCTTATAAATATTTGGAAAAATCAAGCTGTAAGAAGAACAGCTAATGGTACAGAGAATGTATAGTCTGGAAAAAGAGCAAAAGAAGCAATGTTAATAGTTTTTAAACTAATAAATATTATCATGCAAATGTGAATTAGGGAACATAATTCTGTGTTTCTTCACATGACAAAATTTAAGGACAGTAGTCTCGGAAGTTATTAGGAAACAAAGCGAGTCAATTTAAGAAAAACCTTCTATTACTGAGTACTATCCAACAGTGAAATAAGCTGCCTTCTAAGATAATGAGCTTCACATTAGAAAGTTCTTCAAGCACAGGAGTGACAACTACCTACAGAGGTAACTATAAGAAGGATTTTATATCTATGGCAGATGGATTGGGCAATTTCTAAGGTCCATTCCAACTTGAAAAATCTGACTCCACCACTCTTTTCAGGTAATAAAATAAGGTCAGGAAGGAATTAAAATGGACAGAAAAAAATTTTAATGCTTAAGACAAAAATTAAGAAAATCATTCTTTCAGACTTATTAAGCATATTATAGATGAGTGCTTTTGTAAGGCTTCAGGCAAACATCACACACCCTTCAAGTCAATTCTAGAGTTGAAATTATTTTTGTGATCAAATCCTAGTAGGACAAAACACCCTGACCAGCATATTAATGGGAACTGTATATAGACGATTACCAATGAAAAGTACTAAAATATAAGCAACTATGACAAAATGACTTCTGAGAAAATCAGTAAACTTACCCCCATCAAAATCACAAAATACACCTATTCTCTCAGGAACAGTAGCATCCAAGGCTTTGACTTTATTATTATGCTTTGCTGCAAATGTGTTCTGTAGCCAGTTGTTGACATGGATACACCAGCTAGTGTTTGTCTTTCCTAACTGGTCAAATTTCCCCAAAGTCTTGTATGCTACTCCCACACTGTAGGATTTACAATCCTTCTGGGCTTTGACCTCCCAATAATGTTGTCCACTTTCAATAGCAGTGTCTCCTGCAAAAGACCAGAAAGGTAAATTTGGCTCTAACTTCTTCCTTATGAGTCACATAGATTTTTACCCATCTCTCATCCCACAAAATGGCACAAAAAATCTGATTCAGAAAAATAACCATATTAACACACGGACACTAAATGCAGAGTATTTACTATAACTTTACTTGTATATTTACTACTAATTTTTCTGATTTATAAAAGGCTTTAGAACTTTTCTTCCTTACTATCCCCTCAGAAGATATGCATATACTCTACTGGGTATTTACCCCAAAGATACAAACGTAGGGATCCGAAGGGGTACGTGCACCCCGATGTTTATAGCAGCAATGTTCACAGTAGACAAACTGTGGAAAGAGCCAAGATGTCCATCGACAGATGAATGGATAAAGAAGAAGTGGTATATATACACAATGGAACATTATGCAGCCATAAAAAGGAATGAGATCTTGCCATTTGCAACGACGTGGATGGAACTGGAGGGTGTTACGCTGAGTGAAATAAGTCAATCAGAGAAAGACATGTATCATATGACCTCACTGATATGAGGAATTCTTAATCTCAGGAAACAAACAGGGTTGCTGGAGTGGTGGGGGGTGGGAGGGATGGGGTGGCTGGGTGATAGACATTGGGGAGGGTATGTGCTATGGTGAGCGCTGTGAATTGTGCAAGACTGTTGAATCACAGATCTGTACCTCTGAAGCAAATAATACATTATATGTTAAAAAAAAAAAGAAGAAGATAGCAGGAGGGGAAGAATGAAGGGGGGCAAATCGGAAGGGGAGACGAACCATGAGAGACGATGGACTCTGAAAAACAAACTGAGGGGTCGGGAGGGGGGTAGGTGGGAGGATGGGTTAGCCTGGTGTTGGGTATTAAAGAGGGCACGTTCTGCATGGAGCACTGGGTGTTATATGCAAACAATGAATCATGGAACACTACATCAAAAACTAATGATGTAATGTATGGTGATTAACATAATAATAAAAAATGAAAAAAAAAGACATGCATATACATAGAGCACTACATAAAATGAAGCAATCAATGATTAGACAAATTGAAACCCGCCAAAAGTAATCAGGCTTCTAGAGGGAGAAACTTCGGCAAATATTCATTCAGTACACAGGCCACTCCCACTCTAAGTGAGAGGAAAGCCCACGTGTGTGACTGTGATGCCTTTAATATTAACTGACATAATGAAGACTATGTGTATCCTACCCAGCACTGTGTATGATTCCCCAGTGAAACGATCTCTGCTGCCTCTTACTGCTGGTGGCCTGGAGCCTATGGATGTCCGTTTGGGGGATGGTGTGCCACTTCTATATAAACAGGAAAAAAAGAAAAACAAATATTCTATGTTACAAATGTTTCACAAACTAAAATTACAAATCATGAAAGGAAACTTTGATAAGATATTTAATTATGTTGCACAAATAACACCATTTACTTTTATCTGAATTATTATCAGAGTTGTCAATTATAAACACTGAAATGTAATAAGTCATCAACACAAAGCAGGCTGAACACTAATATCATGCAGACTGAACAAAGCTTAAATAAAGAACACGCAATTGATTTAAGAAACAATGCCAAAATGAGACAAGATAAAAAGGAAAACAAAAGAACCGAAAGGAAGAAAAGAACTAAAAAAAGGTAATGGATTATAGAGCTTACATTTCTTGCAGTTAAATTTAAATTTTAAAATGCAAAAATACGATTATAATGAAAACTAAATAACCTTTTCATAAGGAGCAGGTATTTTTGTTTGGGATCTTTTCTTCTTAAAAAGAAGAAACAGTAAATGCCCAAATCCGTGCACAGGATAATATAAAATATCATAAAGCATTTCTCCTACTAAAATGGACAAGATTCAACCTGATCTCCCCTTACATCAAATTATATGATATGATAAACAGGACCGTATTAGGCCTTTCACTAAATCTCAAAAATGCAAAATAAATCAAAACCCAAAGATGCCTAAAAAATAACATTTCAATTATATTGAATCACTGCATTTAAAAAACAAAAAAAATCATAACTTACCAGTAGTAAAGAAATAAAGGGAAAAGCATGGAGAAAAGACAAAAAACGTAACTATTAAGAGTGGCAGTTTAAATTTCAAAGAAAAGTTAAATAAGGAGGACTCTTCCATTGCAGCTTGTAGACTTCCAACCCTAAGAACATTTTTGCAAGCAGTACAACAGCTATTACTGTCCTAGGTCAAACATGATCCCTCCCACCTCTCCCCTTTAACAATACCTTTGCTGCTTGACTGTGTATAAAGTCTACCTGCACTCTAGATTGTTTTACTAGTTTCTGAAATGATCTCTTTGGCACCCAATTCATCTTGTTCACTGTTACCAGATAAATCTATGTGACACGCCTACTTTAAAATCTTCAAGTATTCTTTCCTGCCTACAAACAACTTAGCTTGGAATTGCAGGTTCTTCTGGATTTGGTCCCAATCCGCTTTTCTAGCCTTCTCACCCCCAGAGAGCAGCTAAATGTAGCAGCTAAAGTGTTCCTTAAACTCAGGCAACCTGCTTCAGTGCCTTTTCTCTTGTTCCTCCCTCTCTCAATCCAAGTCCAAATGGCATGCATTCTTCTACTTTCTTGAGAACCAGCCTAAATACTATTTCATTAATGAAAATCTTCCAGATCTTACCAGGCTAAATAACACTTCTGAGGAATCCAGCTCCAGGCCAAAATCCTATGTGTAGCCTTTCAGGCTCAACCATAGACAATTATAAAAGGCTTTTAGTGACAAGCCTAGGAGGGCTGCCTTTCCCATACCAGACTTGGTGCATAGCTAGTTCACCACAGTTTCTGAAGGGAGATGCAATCCACCCCCACCCCAACCCAGTGCTCATATGCATATCTGCATTCCTAGCTTAAGCACCTCTATTCAGAGACCCCCTTATGAGACCTTTTCAGCTGCCTCTGTATAGACCTCCTTACAGGGGACAGGGGTGAGGTGTGTAGTCTGAAGGCACTCTCTCCACTCCATCTCAATACTTTTCCACTTCTAACCTTCCCTCTTCTCCCTTCTTCTTGGCCTCAGGTCCATAAAACAACAGGAAGAGCATTCTGTTTGAGGCTCTCTTGGCAGTGAGATGACCCTCCAGATAACCACCATTTGCAATCTTTGATTTACCTGATCCTCACCCAGCGCCATTCTGTTGGGAAAAATGGAACACTGAAGAGAGCTAGCAGCCTTTCCTTTAAGGTCCCTTGCTTATACTATCACGTAAGTGAATATAGGCTTGATTGTTACTTTTAGTTTGACTCAATGTCCTAACTGACCACCTTAAAACCTGGCAGCTCAAGACATCTTTCTTACTCAAAATCCTTTATTCATTGCTTACCATAACATGTAATCTCTACCTTGTATTATTATTTGATTAGAGATATGTATCTTATATACATAAGCTGGGGCAAATTTCTTAAAGGCAGGAACACTGTTTATCCCTATAAGACCCACCACATCCAGCTGACACCTTACGTGAATAAATATTTATGGAAAGAAGAAATGTATATAACATTCCAGAAGTACCCTACACATAAAATATCCTTAAAAAGGAGAGGAGAAAGAGAAATAATATGATCTGAATTGTTAAATACAAGCAGTCTATAAAAATCTCCAAGTGACCAAATGAAACTTCATATATAAATCCAGCAACATTTTATAATTTATAATATGCTAACGCTGAAGTCACTTTCACTAATAATGAGCAGATAAACTAGAAAAAAAGAAAATAATTTTGAAAAGGGAATACATTCTGGTTTCTGGTAAAGATATGTGCTATCTTCAAATTAGCACATTGTTAATCATGCAATTTGAATTGATTCATTGAGCACTGTCCTAGTAATTTCAGCAATGACCTTTATTTTTTATCCTTGATGCTTCTGAAACTGCATGATCACTACACAATATAGAACACTTCAGGGCGCCTGGGTGGCTCAGTTGGTTGGGCGACTGCCTTCGGCTCAGGTCATGATCCTGGAGTCCCGGGATCGAGTCCCGCATCGGGCTCCCTGCTCGGCAGGGAGTCTGCTTCTCCCTCTGACCCTCTCCCCTCTCATGCTCTCTCTCTATCTCATTCTCTCTCTCAAATAAATAAAATCTTAAAAAAAAAAAAGAACACTTCAAACCTGCCTCGTGTTAAATACAAATAAAAACAAAGCTGTAATGTTAGATATAGTGAATACAGCACAAGAAAGATGCCAGGTATAAGTAAACGTAGAAAAAAATCAGATGAGGGAAAATAACTCAAGAAAGACTTTAAAGCAGAGCTTATTGTTTTGTTACCATATACAATATAATCTAAACAGTATGCAGCATACTCTAATGCTGTAAATTCAAAACATAAACTACCAATACAGACAGTCTACACAGAGCAGTATTTTAGCTTATGAAAGCGCTGCAATGGCTTCTGCTTATTGGTTAAAAGAAAAATTAAAGTTATTCAGCCAAGCTAGATATACTAAGTCCTAGAACCAGACAGACATAGATCATCACCTTGTATGTTTCTTCAGTGAAGTAACATGGACACTGTTAGATAAAAATAGGCAACTGTTAAGAGACTGCTTTACAACTTAAATTTAACAGCTTATACTAAAATTAGATCAAAAGTCTGCTGAGAAATTTTTTTTTTAATTCACTGTTTTAACTCACAGTGATATTACTTTATTTCAGTTTGAGCAAAATGTTCCTCTGTTAAAAAAGAAAGAGGGGCGCCTAGGTGGCTCAGTCGTTAAGCGTCTGCCCTCGGCTCAGGTCATGATCCCAGGGTCCTGGGATCGAGCCCCACATCGGGCTCCCTGCTCCACCGGAAGCCTGCTTCTCCCTCTCCCACGCCCCCTGCTTGTGTTCCCTCTCGCTGTGTCTCTCTCTGTCAAATAAATCTTTAAAAAAAAAAAAAAGGAAAGAGGCTCCCATACTTTGGAGACTGTCTAAGTAAGTCTGACAACAACAAAAGGTCCCAAGACTTCCTCTTTGGTTCATAAGGTTGCTGATCAGGGGCAAGACAATGGGACAGTACATGCTAAAAGCTGTCATTTAAGGCAGACCTTCAGGTAAGACAGCTGATCTATAAGTCTAAAATTCAGGAACTTCTCTCTGAAGCAGTTCAAGTTGCTGTAGATATAACTTTAAAGAAAAGGATTGCTGAAATAAAATGTGTAAAAAGAGGATTAGGGAAGAAAAAGTAATAAGAAATGTTATAACAAATTCAAGTATTGATAAACACTATTATATTCCTTACTACTGTGGTTGTTATTAACCTATCACAAATCACAGTCATTGTCAAGTAAGAAACAACGTACAAGCATGTGTCCACATAACAGATCTAATGAACTGGCTTACCTGCCCTTATTCTCTTTCCCTTTCATTTTATTTTCTTGACCTTTTCCTCCAGTAGGATCCCACTCTACACAGGTATCTTCAACTCTCAGGTTCAAATGGGATGATGAGTTATCCAAACTGAAGTTTAGTGCTGTCCAAAACAGTATTTCACTTTTTTTAAAAAATATAGAACATACCCATATTCTGAAGCACAACTATCATCACATTATTTTGTACTTAATTTATTCAACACTATAAACAATAAAGTTCAAATTCCTAATGCTAGCATTTAAAGTACCCAAAGATAAGGCTGTAATTTACTAACTCCTACTTTACTGACCATTGATGTTCTCTACATATCCTGTAACTCCAACCAAATACAATGTACTTGCATGGCCTCTGGTGTCTCTGCTATTCCTTCTGCTGGAATTTCCATCGGCACATAATAATCTCAACTTTCTGTTATTAGAATATCAGTTGATTATCAGTTGACTGCTATGACTAAATAGGAAGAGTAGCTGGTAGACTTGAGGATGTGGTGTAAAAAAATTATACAGCCTGGCACAAACACATTTTCTCTGAGGCTCTAATACTTAATACTTTCATATTTAAACTCTCAGTAGTTTTGAATTAAAAAGCACAGAGAAACAGGCTATGACAGTAGGAGCAAGGAAACTGGCCCAGCTGATAGAGCTAGATATGACTTAGATGGCAAAGACCTGGGGAAAGGACTACTTTCATGAAAACAAATCAAAAAACTCAAAACGTCACAGGAATAAAAGGCACAGCATAGAGCATATAGTCAGCGGTACTGGAATAGCATTTTATGATGACAGACGGTAGCTATGGTTTGCAGTGAGCACAGCACAACTACAGAGAAGCTGAATCACTACGTTTGAAACTAATGTAATGTGCCAAATTTTAAAAAATAATTTAAAAAATGAAACAAAACTATGCTTTTCAAATTACTTGGTTCTTTGGGAAACTATCTATCTTACTCAGAACTGCTAGTTTAGGAAATCAGTGTAACAAGGTATTACCTTCTCTCTTTGAAACTGAAGGTAAATCATTAAAATGTATTGATTAAGCTAAATAATGCAGAATTCCTCATGTTCTCAAATGCAATTCCTAGAATCTCTGCCTTAAGCAAGGTATCATCTACTACATAGTTACTAACTAATCGACTTCTGTTAGTTATATTTTCCTTCAAAATTTCAAATTTCTGGTAATTACTCATTGTAGTGATATTCCTTTATAACCCTATTTCACTTAAGGATATTGCTTGATTTAGCCAAAGCTTCAGTGTATCTACAAAGTGTGCATCATCAAACAACAAAGTAGTCATATACAGAGCCTAATGTTTACCTAGTAAATTAAAAATTTTTTCCTTCACTATTCTGTAAAGAGCACTTTAATTTTTTATTTTTTAAAGATTTATTTATTTGTCAGAGAGAAAGAGAAAGCACAAGCAGGGGGAGCGGCAGGCAGAGAGAGAAGCAGGCTCCCTGCTGAGCAAGGAGCCCGATATGGGACTCGATCCCAGGACCCTGGGATCATGACCTGAGCCGAAAGCAGACGCTTAACCGACTGAGCCACCCAGGCGTCCCAAGAACACTTTAATTTCAACTATGCATCTGACCATTGTTCATTGTCTTTATTTACAAAATAACTTTCTAAATACAAATCTACTGACCATACTACTTCTAGGAAATATCATACTAAACAAGTTGTTAACTTTTCAAAATTTGCAATGTAAACAGAAATGAACTTATAGAAAGAATATAGTTTTTCAATACAAATGACAAAAAAATTCCTTAATAAGGTTACTAAATAGGCATTTAATAGTTACTTCATAAGCAGGTTACCAAAAAATTAGGATTAAGCAAATTTGAGACCCTGCACTATCAAGAATGAACTGCCTTAAGAAAAGAGGGTTGGGGCACATGGCTGGTTCAGTCAGAATAGCATGAGACTCTTGATCTCGGGATGGTAAGTTCGAGCCCCACACTGGGTGTAGAGTTTACTAAAAAAATAAATAAACTTAAAAAAAAAAAAAACCCAGGGTTTATTAACCCCTATATTAGGCAATACATGTGAGGGTATCTACATTGTGGAGAGAAAGAAAAAGTAAGTATGACTCTAAGGTGCCATCAATTCTCAGCTGCTTGTTAAGATCTAAGGCTTTATTTTTTTTTAAAGATTTTTTTTATTTATTCATTTGAGACACAGAGATACAGAGAGAGAGAGAGAGAGAGAGAGCATGAGCAGGGGGAGAAGCAGAGAGAGGGGGAGAAGCAGACTCCCCGCTGAGCAGGGAGCCCGATGTGGGGCTCGATCCCAGGACACTGGGATCATGACCTGAGCCGAAGGCAGACGCTTAATCATCTGAGCCAGCCAGGTGCCCCGATCCTAAGGCTTTAAAAAAAATAAAGGCAAGAAAAAAATCCTAAGGCTGTTCCCTAATGTTTAATATGATGGAGAAGGGTGGAGTCATGAGTGGCAAGAAAAGATAATCTCCAAGCCAACCGAGACTAGACTTGCTAAATACCACAGCATGCAGACAGAAAGGCATGGGCTTCAATCCCAGAGGTATAATCTTTTATCTCGCTCCCTTTTTTTTGTTTTGTTTTGGATACTATCCCCTTTATGGGACCTCAAATAAGTCACTGAGTCTCACTAAGCTAACAGGGATACAGTGTAATTTAAAAAAAAAATTAAAAAAAAGACTGGTCTCAAAAGTGAGGTCTCAAACATCAGTCCTATCTCTCACATCATCTCTAAATAGAGATAGGTATTAGTTTCTGTATCTTTAAAAGTCTGTGAAAACAAAGTACCAAAAAATTGAAGCACCATTATGCTTCATGTGTTTGTGTTAGTGGCTGCTTTCTTGGTACTCCATGTCATAGCCACTATCATATCAACCTAGAGAGTAATTTGTGATTAATATCATATCATTTGCCTTTACAAGGAAGTAAGGGATAAAATACGTAAAAATTCTATACATAAGAACTTAGATTACTCATCACATGTGACAGTTCCAATGACAAGAAATAATGCTACAGGGGTGCCTGGGTGGCTCAGTCATTAAGCATCTGCCTTCAGCTCAGGTCATGATCCTGGGGTCCTGGGATCAAGCCCCGCATCAGGGCCCCCGCATCAGTAGGAAGCTTGCTTCTCCCTCTCCCACTCCCCCTGCTTGTGTTCCCTCTCTCACTGTGTCTCTGTCAAATAAATAAATAAAAAATCTTTAAAAAAAAAGAAACAATGCTACATACATTGGAGAGACAGAAATAAAAAATGTTCACTGTTTCCCACATTGAACACCATTAAAAGGTAGGATGTCAAATTTTGGTAGGATTCCACTATTTAATTTCCATCTCCCTTTCCCTCCAGTTCTTTGTTCCATACATTTATTACTATGGTTGGTCAAAAAGCACTACAGTAAGCCAAAAAAATTAGCAAACAATTGTTCAACATGTCATTTTTTAAAAATCTAAACTTTTCCTCTGGAGCTCTTGCCCTCATTAGTAACTACTCCAATGGTATGGAATAACCTTAGAAAAGCTGTGACCTACAGCCATGTAAGGGACAAATTTTATTCCGGGTCTCCCTGAAGGTCAGAATCAATGTTTAGTAGGTCTCAGGGTTGAGTTTCAGTCTATCCCTACCCCAAGGGGTTTACCCCACAGTAAGAACTCTTTTTCTTTCATAATTCCAACACAACAAACTGCTGGGATTTTTTTTTTTTAAGAATTTTATTTATTTGAAAGTGAGAGAGAAAGCATGAGCAGAGGGAAGAGCAGAGGCAGAAGGAGAGGCAGACTCCCCACTGAGCAGGGAGCCTGATGCGGGGCTCGATCCCAGTACCCTGGGATCATGACCTGAGCAAAGACCGTCGCTTTACCGACTGAGCCACCCAGGCACCCCTCACAGTGAGAACTCTTGAAAGGACTAAAATCAACTTAGTCTTTCTCTTTCAAACAATAAGACCAAGAATTTGACTACTAAGATTCAGACACTGCCAACAGGAGTAGCCAGCCCAGCTCCAAGAAGACTATGAGCCAGCTATTCATTTTCCTGAATCTGTGGAATTTGCACAGAAATGTACATGTCCGGGGCGCCTGGGTGGCTCAGTTGTTAAGCGTCTGCCTTCGGCTCAGGTCATGATTCCAGGGTCCTGGGATCGAGACCCGCATCAGGCTTCGGGCTCAGTGGGAAGCCTGCTTCTCCCCCTCCCACTCCCCCTGCTTGTGTTCCCGCTCTCGCTATGTCTCTCTGTGTCAAATAAATAAATAAAATCTTAAAAAAAAAAAAGAAAAGAAATGTACATGTCCAAGTTTGGTCACTAAATATAAAGGGTAAAAAAGAAGGAACAAAAGACATAAAAAGATACAATACTCCTGAGGGAGAATAATAATGTAATTTTACCGGACAAGGGCTAAAAACAGTTCAAGTTGTGTAGAAAAGATTAATCTACATAAGTATGACTACACTTTGAAATGGTTAAAATTTCTAAAGAAACCACAGTAACGTCTCAGTTTGATTGCAAGTAATTTAAAGTAATTGCATTTCTTGTTTATCTATAGTTCTTGAATAAAAACATTTGGTAATCCAAACAAATTATTCAACTTAGTTTTTTTTTTACCTTTGTGATGCAAATATAGTCTTTTGAGTTTGCCCTGTCAATAACTTATGGACCTCATATTTTGTTTTATTCTGATATAATATTTTTGTATCACTTCCAAATTATATCAAACTCTGGTTGCAAACCCATTCAAATGATATATGAACTAGAGGTCAGTGGAACACTTGAAGGCCCAAGTACCTCAACAATGTGGAGAATCTGATTCTTGAAGTAAACCCAGTCAATTATCATCTCACAACTGACAAGATCTCTAGCATTATGGCCTTCCAAGTGGTAAATATCTTAAAAATCTTCTATGTTGAAATACGTTATTCTAGAGTTTTTACTAAATACAAATTGCTCTGAAGACTAGAAGCACCCAGGTTCCAGGCCCACAATAAGGGCTGGCACAGAACTTGGAAACAGATTCTTAATTACACCTTTCCAAGTTAGTATTAGGGATCGTGGGAAAGTCATTTAACATATTTAAACTTCACTTTCTTCATCTGCAAAATGGGTATCAGTAATATTTAGACTACTGATCTCTCAGGATGGTTTTAATGATGAAATGGAGAACTCAGAGTACTTTGTAAACAGTAATAAAAATACAATGTTAATTTCTAGAATAAGGTTTAAGAAAACATGGGACACCTGGGTGGCTCAGTCAGTTAAGGGTCCGACTCTTGATTTTGGCGCAGATTATGATCTCAGGGTCATGAGATTGAGGACGCATCAAGTTCTGCACAAGACGTGAGCCTGCTTATTAAGATTCTCTCTCTCCCTCTCCATCCACTCCTTCCCCCCTCCCTCTCTGGAAAGAAGGAAGGAAGGAAGGAGGGAAGGAGGAAAGGAGGAAGGAAGGAAGGACGGAAGGAAGGAAGGAAGGAAGGAGAGAGGGAAGGAGGGAGGGAGGGGGAGGGGGAGGGGAAGGGGGAGGGGAAGGGGAAGGGGAAGGGAAGGAAAGGAGGAGAACCTGAACTAAACTGAAATGGTACTTCCCTATTACTGAGCCATAATCCATTCCCTGAGAAATCTGTAGGCAAATCTCATCGATGCCTATGTATTTATACTAGATTGCAATTTACAAACTAACATCCACCAGAGAATATAATGCCATCATCTTGGTCTATTTTACCCATCTGAACACCATCATAAAAGATGAACTAATGGGGGTGCCTGGGTGGCTCAGTCATTAAACATCTGCCTTCAGCTTGGGTCATGGTCCCAGGGTCCTGGGATCCAGCCCCGCATCGGGCTCCCTGCTCTGCGGGAAGCCTGCTTCTCCCTCTCCCACTCCCCCTGCTTGTGTTCCCGCTCTCGCTGTCTCTCTCTCTGTCAAATAAATAAATAAAATCTTAACAAAAAAAAAAAGATGAACTAATGAAAACCAATTTTGTAATTCTAATTTTCCCATCTTAAAATTCCGACTGCTGGGAATTCCAAGTGTGTGTATGTATGTGCACATGCAGTGGGGAAGAAGTGCTACCATACATGAAATGCTTCCTGTCACAGTCTTGACTAACTTCGGATGTTAAGTTTTGTTTTATGCTGTATAGATATCTATGATCTTACCTGTGGTCTCTAGAGTCACTGGATCAGAATACTCTCCAGCTACAGCTTTGTTACAAGCTCGTACTCTGAAATTCATATACTTTGAATCAAACTTCAAGCCTGAAAAAATGAAAATGGTTTTCAGATATGAAAAATAAAGGGACCTACTCCAAAAGTATGAGTATGAACCTTCAAAGAGACACTTTCCTCCTTGGAACTATTTCTTTACTCCAGGAGAGTACATGTTTATGTTAAAACGATGATTACGCCTCAAGTAAGAGGAATCATGATTTATCTACTACTTTCTTCAAAAGAAATAAATTACATACAGTTTTCAATGTGGATTTTTTTTAAACCTAGTGATAAAAAGGTACTCTCAAGCCTTGTTAAAAGTGATGTTTTATTCAAGGAGAAATGCTACAATTTAAAATAACATATTCAGTTTCTGGAAAGAAGACACCCTAAAGAATTTTTATATTTATGAAACACTGTCTTTTTATGTGAAAAATGAATTTAAAGAGAAAGTAAAGCATAGGAATTAATAGTAAATTCTGAAGTTAGTCAAGTCTAGATTAAAATCTCAACCCATGGCGTGCCTGGCTGGCTCAATCGGTACAGCATGCAACTCTGGTTCTCAGAATTATAAGTTTGAGCCCGACGATGAATGCAGAGATTACTTTAAAAAATAAAATAAAATCTTTAAAATTTCCGTCCAAAAATTACTAGCTATGGGACTATCAACAACTTGACAGAGGCAGTTTTTGTATCTGCAAAATAGAAATCATAAAATCAACCTCGTAATTGTAAAGATTAAATGAGATGTGTTGTGTAATACACTTCAGCTCAACTCCTGACAAATAGTAAGTGCTCAATAATGGTAATATTACTGCTCATACATAAGAAGTGTTGAAGAACTCTGGAAACATTTGTCCATTTCAAATACCCAAAGTCCCCTATATGTGGAAATACCTTTTGTGTGTGTATAAGTACCTTTTTAAAGACTTTTAAAAGGCTAACATGAATTTCTAATACCAAGTCACAGCCCTTAAGTATTACTGTAAAGGTAATCATAAAAAGGTAAAAGCAACAGTATTCATGGTGCCACTAAAATGTAGGGTAGTATGTACACCTAGGAAATTGACAGCTTTTTTATTCTTAGAAAACCAAGTTTAAAATTAAATGTTATTCTGAAATATTGTTTCCAGAACACCCCTTCATGTTTGTTTTACATACACTGTTTTACCAGATTACAAATATCCAGAAGTAATTAAAATGAAAGTTTTCCTGATATTTTAAGAGAAACTTACTCATGGCTAAAGAAACTTAATCTTTTAAAGTAACTCAAAATATTTTTCACAATTACATTTACTTTCTGAGAATGAGATTCATGAAATGCAGTCCTTTTACCTGATAGTGTATACTCGGTACCCTTAATATTATCGATTACTTCCCAGCATCGTTCATCCTTTACACGTGGAAGTCCATCAAAATTAGTTTTCCGATGTTCCAGTATAAAATGATCAATCTTATTATCTTCTTCTGGCATTCTCCAAGCTACTGTTACAGAATTGTCAGCCACCAAACACTCTACTGGATCTATCTCTGGAGCTTTAGGGACTGAAGAAAAAAAAAAAGGTTTATTTCTCATTTATTATAGTAATAATCCAATATTTATGTTTGTCATTCAAACTGCTTTTTTCATGTTGCTTTTGAATGGTGCAACTGAATGAGGCTAAGAGAAAGGGTAACCTAATAAATGCAAAATAACTATTTTTCAAAGTTCCATTTAAAAATTCATGTTTCAAGTTTTTTTATAGATTTATTCAAAGTTTATTAAAATCCTAGTTGGCAAAAAGCAATTCAAACATGCCAAAGATAAAGAATCAAGAATAACTTGTTATTTCTCAACACGTACTTCTTAATCTAGCTGTAGAATATATATTATATCACTAAAGACAAAATAGAAAACTTTGCTTTGAATCCAATGATTAAAGTAATTTAAGATAGTTTCAATGTATTTTAAAAATCTTATTTATAGGGCGCCTGGGTGGCTCAGATGGTTAAGCGTCTGCCTTCAGCTCAGGTCATGATCCCAGGGTCCTGGGATTGAGTCCCACGTCGGGCTCCCTGCTCCTTGGGAGCCTGCTTCTCCCTCTGCCTCTCTCTTTCTGTCTGTCTTTCATGAATAAATAAATAAAATCTTAATAAAAAAATTAAAAAAATAAAAATCTTATTTATAAAAGAATTGTAATTTCTCATCACTAAACAAAAATGAACTCCCCAACCCCCCAAAAATACTTTAGGATTTTTAATGTTTCTGCAATGAGTTCTATGAGTCATTAAAATTAACCAGGGTAAATGAGCCATAACTAACATGTATGAACAGTAATTTATTTCTTTTCCATAGAAGAGATTTTCCATAGCTCCTCAACATCAACAGATGTTCCATTTGCAAATGGAAGAAATTGAAGAACATGGTCCTCCAGTGACATAGATTTGTCTAAAATGTGTAAAACTGCAGATATTGTATTTAAGCATTCTGTCACTAAAAAGTTTTTAAAAGACTTATTCCAAGTATACAGGGCTGGTTCAACATTCTAAATCAATTAATATAATCGATCACATTGGAAGAAAAATCATATCTTATCAACAGAGAAAAAATATTTGACACTCACGACAAAAACTCAGCAAACCAGAACAGAGAAGAACTTTGCTTGATAAAGAACATTTGCAAAAAAGCTACCGTTAACATTATACTTAATACTGAGGGCGCCTGGGTGGCTCAGTTGGTTGAGCAACTGCCTTCGGCTCAGGTCATGATCCTGGAGTCCCGGGATCAAGTCCCGCATCGGGCTCCCTACTTGGCGCGGAGTCTGCTTCTCCCTCTGACCTTCTTCCCTCTCATGCTCTCTCTCTACCATTCTCTCTCTCAATAAAAAAAAAAAAAAAAAATTATACTTAATATTGAGAAACTAGATACTTTTCTTCTAAGGCAAGTCCCCTTTCACCACTCCTATTCAACACTGTACTCTGTGGAAGTTCTAGCTAAATGCAGTAAGATGAGAAAAGGAAGTAAAAGGTATATAGATTAGGAAGGAAGAAATAAAACCTTCTTTGTTCACTGATGGCATCAATATCAATGTAGAAAATCTGAAAAATCAAGGGAAAAAAAAAATTCCTGAACTAACAAGCCATTATAGCAAGGCTGCAGGACACAAGAGTTGTAGAGGCAGAGTAGAGGGGAATTTTAGAGCAGTGAAACTATTCTGTATGATAATCTCATGGTGGATACGTGGTATTATACATTTGTCAAAACCCAAAGGACTGTATAACACAAAAAATGAACCCTAATGTAAACTATGAGCTTCAGTTAATAATAATGTATCAATATTGGTTCATCAATTACAACAAATGTACCACACTAATGCAAGATGTTAATGATAGGGTAAATTGTATTTGGAGGAGAAAGGGGATATATGGCAAGTCTCTGTACAATCTACTCAATTTTCCATAAACCTAAACCTGTTCTAAAAAACAAAATATTAATTTTTTTTAAGATTTATTTATTTGAGAGAAAGAGAGCATGTGTTTGTGTGTGTGTGCATGCACACGTGCACACAGTAGGGAGGAGCATAGAGAAAAGGAGAGAGAGAATCTCAAGCAGACTCCATGCCCAGTGCAGAGCCCAATGCGGGGCTCGATCTCAGGACACTGAAATCTGACCTGAGCTGAAATCGAGAATCCAGGCACCCACAAAGTATTAATTTTTAAAAACTATGACAACAAAAGAATTATATACAAAAGTTAAAATGCAAACCAATGTAGAACTCAACAAATAATAAAGTAAACTGAGTACTTTACATCTTAGATAAAATAGACCAAGATGAGTCCTTGGGGCGCCTGCGTGGCTCAGTAAGCTAAGCGTCTGACTCTTAATCTCAGCCCTTGTCTTGATCTCAGAGTCATGAGTTCGAGCCCCATAGCCTAGCATCAGGTTCCATCAGCTCTTTAAAAAAAAAAAAAAAAAACCAAGATGGAAAGAATTTGATGTAAATTTTACATCTTCAAGCCTAACTAGTAACAAAAGGAGGAAGGGAGAAAAATGGGACAACTGATCTCCATTAACTATAGTATCCAAAGTTCAATTCTTGTATGTGTGTAACTGTACAATAACTATTTAGAATCTGATATGCCTTATTAGTAAGACAAAAGACAACCAAATAAGTATTTATCATTTGTCATTACTGTTAATTTCCTTCATCTGTTTTGTAGGGTTCTTGTCCCTATAACACATAAGAGACGCTAATCTCTATCACTGAAACATGAGTGACACAGATTACTATCCATTGCCAAGGGAATAAACCACAGGCATTTATGAATTTAATATGCTCTGCACTGCCTACATGTGAGGAAATGTAAAGGCATATGGCATGTAGCAATTTCATAATTTTGCTGAGTCAAAAACCTGTACTTAGGGTGCCTGGGTGGCTCAGTCGTTAAGCATCTGCCTTCGGCTCGGGTCATGATCCCAGGATGCTGGGATCGAGTCCCATATCGGGCTCCCTGCTCGGCAGGAAGCCTGCTTCTCCCTCTTCCACTCCCCCTGCTTGTGTTCCTGCTCTCGTGCTCTCTGTCAAATAAATAAAATCTTTGAAAAAACAAAACAAAACAAACCTGTACTTAAAGTTCCAAGAGGCTAACAGAAAGCAAGAATCATTTAATTTGTAAGCAGGCCCAGCTAACACTCCACTGTCTACCTCTTAATTCAGCTGCCATTCCTGTAAGAATGTACTGGAAAGTAGATACTTCTTTCTTGTGAATAATGGTGCCCAAAAGAAGTGGTAACTAAGGTAAAAATGAAAAAAAAAAATCCAAGAAAGTGGTGATAGTTGGGAGGAGACAGAAAATTTAGATAATTTAAGACTGGTATATCAAATTAAGGTTTACCTGGGTCTAATATGTGGAAAGTTCACCCAAGATTCTATACAGAAGTAAGAGAAGCGTTCATCAAATGAGGGAGAGAACTTCAGGGTAAGATGAAAGGTGGTACATTTGTAACATACAATATTACTTAGGAATGCAGAACTCTCTTTGAAAATGAGAATGGAAAGCAATTTACAGCAATTTCCATAAAGTAACACTTAACTGGCAATAGTGTGGAAATTGGCTCAAGAATTTGACATTCTCCACATGTGAATGTGAAAGAACAAGCGGCATCAACATTGCCACAGACATGTTTCTCTTCTCAGCTGTAGAAGCTCAGAGAGGAGAAGGATATAAATTCTTAAGTTTCAATGTCTAAAAAATAGCTTAGAGTAGAAGAAAATGACTGTAGTTATTACCGTCCATCATCATCACTTCCATCTTTCAGATTCAAGTAAGTCTACAACTCCTGTTACTATACAAAGGATAAAGGTATTCATTTGTCTAAATTAATCTGACTCCGTCTTATGGAAAATTCTTATGCTATAGCAGAATAAAAAATTAGTGATGGGAGTTCATCTTTCATAAATTTTAACAACCTATTATATTTTTCCATTCAGATGAAACTCCTCCACAAAAGGATTTCTTGTTTTTATTATACCTCATTGCTTTAGATTGTCTTAACAGTTTCCCAAAAGAGGAAATCCTAACTGTGCAAGCAATCTACTTGACGATATAGTAAACATGGCCTTGGTCTATTAAGCCATCACAGAAAATCCAAGAGAAAGAAAGTAATGGTGAGAAGATCGCTTTTTAGTACTTTTTTTTAAATCAAAATAATAATACTCACGTGTACATTCACAATCCACCACTCCTGACTCTCCTTCTGAATTTAGAAGTAGTGTGAATTATAATAGTAATTCTGAAAGGCCAATTTACAGGTAGATGTCCACTGACAAGTATACCTTCTCCCTCTAGTCTACACCTCTGGTTCCTTCTCTCATCTTTTCCTTCTATAAACTCTTCTAGAACTTCTGACCTGTACCACACAAGTTAACACTTCACTTATACCACCCTCATTAGTTCCATTATAGTTTCAGGACTACTAACCTGTCTTTACAATCATATTTTAAAGTCCCTGACCAAATATTGAGAGAATGGTTTCATTTGATCAACATTCTCTATTCAAGAACAGCTAACCTCCAAAAGTTAAAGCCAGTTCTAACTAGAATCTGTAAGTAAAAAGCACCTGTAAATAAGTAAAAAAGCACCTGATCCCTCAAATCACCATGTCCTAACTGTTTTAGCTATCAACCTAAGACCATTACTTCATGTTACCTAAAAAGAGAATACCAACAGGCAAGATCGCAGAGGAGTAGGAGACCTGGGTTTCGTCTGGTCTCAGGAATTCAGCTGAATAGGGATCAAACCATTCTGAACACCTACGAACTCAACAGGAGATCGAAGATAAGAATAGTAACAACAC